CCGGTAGATGCTGTCTCATACCGGACGGGGTATGGGTACGGCTCGCTTCACCCTCATACCCGGACGGGGTATGAGGTTTAATGATTTGGCGCTCATACATGATGGGGTATGGGGACGGTCTTGTAATTGAGATTGTTAAAGGAAATAGTTCACATATAGCGGGAACATCCCTATGGATTCCCATGGATATTAGTAGACTGGTTAAAAGAGAAACAATTATAGTTGGTTTATTGTTAATGGATATGGATTTATAACATGTTCTATGTTGCTGATTGTTCATGAAATTATGATCTGTATAGTATTATTATTTTTATAGATTGTTTTCATAAATTCAACTATGGTAAGTGAACGAGAAATGATTTTATGATTGATAAATGAATTAACTAAATTTAATACTCCATTAGTGGTTTTCGATTTTATATCAACTTTTGCTTCTATGACGGTAATATAGTGTGATATCTTTACTGAGCTAGTGTAACTCATCTTTTATTTAATCATTTCAGATCAAGAAGATCAGGTTCAAGAGCCCAATCTGCAAGAAGATTGTGAGTATATATTAGATATTTTTTTATTTTTCATTTGTTTCCTTATTTCTTATGTTTCTTTTAAAGAATTAATTCAGTAATACTATTCAGTACTTTTAAGTTATTGTGTAAGGAATGTAAACCTTAATCTTTTATTTCGCTTCCGCACTTAAGTTATCATATATTTGCTTTTGGATTTCTGGAATCGTTACATAAAGACTTTGAATTATGTTATCATATGAAATCTTAAAAGGATTTTTGCAATAAAAGACTAATACAGGACATTGATTAAGTATATAAGTTGTCATATAAATTGCTTTAGCCCATAAAGAGTTGGAAAGACCTTTTGCTTTGAACATGTCCATAGCCATCTCAACAAGATGAAAGTCTACATTAAGCAAGACATATCCATATTTACCAACTTAAATGAGTCATCAAGTTTTCCATATCTTCTCTTTGAGAATATGGTTTGGTGTTGCCTCTAAAAATATATAACATATCAAATATTCATATCCACCCAATCATGCTCATATAAAATTCTTAAGTTTGAGAAGTTCAAGTTCTTATACTTTGGCATAATTAATTTTTATAATATAACGAAACCTTTCAATACATTTGATGATAAAACGATAAATAGAAAAAAAAAAACGATTTTCAAATATAAAAACCTGAAACATCATTTTTTTTTATTTTTTTAAAAGAAATAAAGCACGAAAAATCTTTGAAAAAAAGAAAAATAACATTCTCTTACTTTTTTTTACACTCAATAGATTTGAATCAAAATCTAATAAATAAAAAACACCATTAAATATTATAAATTCTCACGTATTTATCTTTACTGTTTGTTATTGACTCTACAAATAATACAGTCATTCATTCTGATCTTAGAATTTATTCACTAAAATAAGATAATAAGTTATTTCAAACTTTTTTTTTTGTTTTATTCTTGAAATCATTTGATATAAACTTTGCGAATAGTTTAACTGTCAGTAATTCATTATAACTTTAGAATTTAGCCTTAGAATTTATTCAACCTAAGCAAGATGGGAAATAAACGTCAACTTTATTGTCTTATAATTGTTGCAAAATACTATTTTGAATAACAAACACTAATCTTAAAGAATTCAAGAATTAAACTATCGACACAATCTTCATCTTTCTCTTCAAAAAGACTTGACATTTCCATTTTTTTTTTTCGCTTACGAAATCTTTGAACATACCTAATGTTTCTTACACCAATAACATTAGGTGGACTTCACATTTTTTGTCAACTATATTATAGTGCATATTCCTCTCTTCAAAACATGAACTAGCATTAGTACCTCTCTCTAGAGAGAAGAATAAGTTGAATGACTTTGTTTAGTGCTTGTAATTTAATATTTGTTGTTTGATCTACCTTTATTATTATACTAAATCAAATCCTTTCTCAATTCTAGCATGCATGATATAAATACAAAGAGATATATATATCTGTGTGTGTGTATATATATATATATATGTATATATATGTATGTAAGAGAATGCTGCTGCATTTTTTACAATTTCATCAACATGCCAACTTCAAGAGAGCTGGTTTTTTTTTGCTCGAATTAAGTAATTAATTAAATTGTTTCATAGTTTACTTATATATTCAACTACATAATATTATCCGAGGAATTTTAAGATTCTAATTCATGTGCTCCTTAATCACACATTATAAACAAATCTTTGTATGGACATCCTTGTTTGCGGGTGGCTGCTTACAGATACAAAAATATATACATTCAGATCATACGTATATCTACCTATATATTTGTGTTGGATATGGGGTGTGTGTGTGTATATATATATATACATATTGTGTATATTTACTAACAAAATATTACGATTACTCCTAACAATTTTTAATTAAAGGGAATGGATTCTAAAAAAAAAAATCAAGGAATGGAACATTGTAATCATGAAAGTGGACAATATTTTATTGTGTACATATATTGTATATAAATATGTATATATCTAATTTTTTTAAAAAAGTAAAAAATTTAGCCGAGAAATTTTAATTCGTTGTAACTACTTTGATTAAAAAAAATAATTGTTACGAAATATTCAGTTAGTTTAGAATAATAATATATTTATTAAAATTTAACTCAATTTGATCACTACAATTTTATTAATATATTAGTAAGAATTTTACTTAATCAAATATTATAAATCGACTAACACTAATATATAATACATTTACAAAGTAGTTAGCTCAATCTTTTCAGTAAATTTAAACTTATAATTTTCAAATATAACACAAGAGTTTTAATCACTATATCATTGTATTGTTAGTCATATATATATATTTTTTAATTCGAATTAACCAAACATTATAAATTAATCATCGTTAATATATAATACACTTATAAAATAGCGAAATTTACCCGTTCGGCGAGTTTAGAACTCATATTTTTTAATAAAATATAAATATTTTAAGTAATGACAATATTATTGGTCATGTATTTTTTTAACTCAATATGTAACGACCCCGGAAATCCAAAAGGAAATATATAATAATTTAAGTGCGGAAGCGAAATAAAATGTTAAGGTTTACATCCCTTGCACAATAACTTAAAAGTACTAAACAAACATCACGAAATGAATTCTCTGAAAGAAACATGAGATATGAGAAAAGTAAAAAAATATATATAAAGTATCTAGCATCTACTCGCAATCTTCTTGCGGATCGGACTCGGGAATCAGGTCATCTTGATCTGAAATAGTTAAATAAAAGATGAGCTACACTAATCCAGTAAGGACATCACACTATATCATCGGCACCAAAGTAAATGTTTGTAGAAAATCAAAACAACTAATGGAGCACTAAATTTAAACCAATACATTTATTAAAAATAAAACCATTTATCATTCATTTACCATCGGAGAATTTATGAAAATAAATTATAGAAGCAATAATATTATACATATCATAACTTTATGCACGATCAGCAACATAAACATATCATAAATTCACATTCATTAACAATAAACTAAATCATAATCGTTTATCGTTTCACCAGCCTACTAGTATCCATGGGGATCCATAAGGGTGTCCCTGCTACACGTGAATCATTTTCCTTAACAATCTTAATTACAGAGCCATCCGGTATGGGCGCCAAACGACCAAGTCTCCATACTCTGTCCGGTATAAGACAACGTTCACGGTAGGATTTCCTATGAACCCAGTCCGTCCGCCATCTTCCAGAATATCTAGTGAGGCTGTCATATTATCTGTTTATTAGATCACACCCCTTTCCTGTTTTCCCTTAGTCTCCGTTACCAAATCAAACATAATCACATAAACAAATAAATATACATCCGGTAATGCAATCATATCTTAAATTCTAAAATCAAACAGTGGTCAGATAAGACAGTAATACATGTATTTAAACCACAAATATATAAACCAGATATCATCATACT